GAATTTGAAGAGGCACGAATGGAGGGTAAAAGGGAGGAATATGCCAAGAGAAAGGGTCATCAAGCCAACCCTGACCGGGACCGCCTTCRATCTGGAAACCAATGTCCTCACTGCYAGAGAACATGCGGGTCAAGAATAGGACTCCACAACCACCTACGGACCCACTGCCATCATCCTTGAGCTACAAGGGACAGCCTAAGAGAAGAACAGTTCTACCTAACCATTACACCTATTTCATCTGGCTACCCGATCACCAGATGACCTACTTGCCTGTCCAGTCTTCAGCCCAAGTCCTCAGGATCATAATTTTTGTGGTTATAAATCATTAAGTTGAGCAATAAGGCTTTCAAACAAAGAACAGTCCTCTGTAAAATCGGTTACATGGTCATCCTACAACCTGTAGCCAACTGACTAAAGCAGGAGCCTCATACATGTTGATCCATCCTTTCTTTTCACAGCCCCATCCAAGCAAGAGCATAATCTGCAATCTGGAAGTTACTTGCAATCTACAGGGTCCATGAACTGCAACTTAGGGCCCTTCCACACAGCCATATAACCCAGAATATCAAGTGATAAAATCCCACAGTATCTGCTTTGAACTGGGTTATCTGAGTCCACACTGCCATATATTCCAGTTCAAAACAGATAATATGGGATTTTATTCAGCTGTGTGAAAGGGGCCCTGGGTACCAGACAGCCAAGGGGTCTGTTCAACCACAATCTGGAAAGACAGGGAGCTGTAGTCTAAAAGCACCACTTTCCCAAGCTTTGAATGGGACTTAACACAGAACCAGTTCAACATATTTTAGAATAATACTCCTTATCAGTGGGACCATTGAGCCATCGGTTCTCAAAGTCTGAATCAAAGTACAGCACAAACTAAACTTTCATGTACTTCCATTAAGTGTTTGCCCTCAGGGACCGCCGTACTGTTTTTATTGCTTACTGTTATTGCTTAATGTTTTGATTTGCTTTTGATTTATGTGTATTTGTTATATTGTTGTTTTATTGATGTTTAATTATTTATGTTACAATTGTTTTTAATTGCCCTATACTTGTCTCGTGATGTTTTGTATGGATGTTGTTCACCGCTTTGAGTTGCCTGAGGGCTGAGAAAAGTGGTATATAAATAAAGTAAATAAATAAATATTGAGGCCTTGGCCTTTGTAAGCCACATCGATTCCTTCGGGAGATGTTAGCGGGGTACAAATAAAGTTAATAATAATAATAATAATAATAATAATAATAATAATAATAATAACAATAACAATAAACAGGACTGCCAGTAATCAATGGATAGCAAAGTCTTGGCAATAACTGGTATTTAAGGGAAACATTATTTAAGATAATATTAATAAAAGGTGAGCAGTGCAGCCCAATATCTGGAATCTATGGCATAGATTTTGGGGAAATATGACATAAATTCTGAAAAGAAACAAAACAGTGAGACTAAGCCATGGAATTGATTTGTGGAAGAAAGGATGCTGACCCAAAGTCAGGCTTAGTCAGAGCTGGGATAGTGGTTGTTGTTGTTGTTGTTGTTTTGGTGTAACTCCTATAGCATCCAAGGAAGCATAGGATTTGGGGACTGGTAGTCAAAACAGTTAATTTTCCAGTTCTGAGTATGGGATACTGTACGTTCTATTTCTAAAAATCTCACAGAGCGATTCAGGCTCCAGGTTTGATATGAGTAACCTTTCAACTACATTTGTGTTTTTTCCCCCTCCACATTTAGATGGTTTTGATTAGATCTGTCAAGACTCATTTCCTGCTGCCCAACCATGAAATGTGAAGTATCAATTAAACGGATAGATAGTCAAAGTGATGAATATGTATAATTCAAAGGCTTAGCTCCCTGTCGCCAGTAGGTCACCCTTGATGACGACTGGGCTCCTTTAGATCTTTTTCTATTCTTTCCCATGCCATTTTTCAAAAACTGACAAATGTGTGTGTGTGTGTGGGGTGAGGTGGGGAGGGAATGGGGAGGGCAGTATTCATGCCTTTGATATTTACTGGGCTTTTAGCATCTACATCTCTGCAATTAAAAAATTACCATTAAAATACAGCAAGATAATTAAGTTGCTAATAATTGTTGGCATTTCCCCTTATCTCTCTCTCATCTGTTGGATTGCCCCTAAGTAACAAAGACGTCCAAGATGTGAAGAAAGAGATAAGAGAAGTAGCTCTGAGACAGACGGCTTCATCATTCTTCCTTATAGCTCACATTAGATATTGCCTCGGCTAAGTTCATGGTTGCTAAGCAACCAGGACGTGTCTATTTCCTCTCTTCATTGTCTTGGATGGGATGAGATGCAGCCATGGCACTGAATTGCACCTAAACTTCTTGGAAGAGGAAGAACTTAAATGGCAGGGGGTTGGACTGGATGGCCTATGAGGTCTCTTCCAACTCTATGATTCTATGAAAGCTTGGAAGGAGTACAGCTGCAGGCTTTGTTGTGTGCCTTCAAGCCGTATCTGACTGATGATGACTCTAAAGCAGGCATGGGCAAACTTCCGCCCTCCAAGTGTTTTGGACTTCGACTCCCACAATTCCTAACTGGCTTTTGAAGGCTTTCATGGCCAGAATCACTGGGTTGCTGGGAGTTTTCCAGGATGTATGGCCATGTTCCAGAAGCATTCTCGACTAATATTTCGCCCACATCTATGGCAGGCATCGTGAGGTTGAGAGGTCTGTTGGAAACAAGGCAAGTGAGGCTTATATATCTGTTGTAAATATGGTGAGCTTATGGTGTTTCCAAAGTCCTTTTGGTTGCAAGAAATTGTGGGGTAGTATTGGTGTCTCTGCAGCATGGAAGGAAAGTCAGGGAGCACAGTAGATGTGCTTTCCTGGTCCTTAATTTTTCCAATCTCCATGACTCTTGGAACAGTTTTTCCCGGTAGAGATGTTTAATGTGTTGTCAAAGGCTTTCATGGGTTGTTTTACTCCGTGACTTTTCTTCTACGCTGCAGAGACCCCAATACCATCCCACAATTTCTCACAGCCAAAAGGAATTTCAGAACACCACAGGCTTACTGTATTTATGACATATATATAAACCTCACTTGCTGAGTTTCAACCTCTGAGGATGCCTGCCATAGACATGGGCAAAAGATCAGGAGATATTGCTTCTGGAACATGGCCATACAGCCTGGAAAACTCACAGCAACCCAGTGATTCCGGCCATGAAAGTCTTTGACAACAGATTGAACATCTCTACCAGGAGATTGAGGTTCTGGGTTTGAGCCTGCCACTCTTGAACTCTTGCTTGCTTAGGTGTTCCAGCAAGTGCCTCTGTAGATCTTAGAAAACTATTTCTTGATTTAAGTCATTGATGTGCTGGCTGATACCCAAAGAGGGGATGAGCTGGAGATGTCACTGCCTTGATCCTTTCACTATTGGTTGCTGCTTCCTGGCGGATGTCAGATGGTGCAATACTGGCTAAACAGTGTAATTTCTCCAGTGGTGTAGGGTGCAGACACCCCATGATAATGAGGCATGTCTCATTAAGTGCCACATCTACTGTTTTAATTTGGTGAGATGTGTTCCACACTGGGCATGCATACTCAGCAGCAAAGTAGCAAAGCGCAAGGGCAGATGTCTTCACTGTGTCTGGTTGTGAGCTCCAGGTTGTGCCTGTCATTCTGAGGATGCCTGCCATAGATGTGGGCGAAAGGTCAAAGTTTCTGGAACATGGCCATACAGCCCAGAAAACTCACAGCAACCCAGCCTGCTTTAAGGAATTGTGTGAACGGAAGTCCAAAATACCTGTAGAGAGCCTGACCTAAAGGGACCTTATCACAGGATTTCTTGACAACCTTTTTTCAGAGGGAGTCTGCCATCACCTTCCTTTTGGGTTGGAAAGAATGACTTGCCCAAGGCCACCAAGTGGGTTTTCAGGGCTGAGTGGAGATTCAACCACAGTTTCTCATACGTCCTAGTCCAACTCTCAAATCTACTACACCACACTAACTCTTCAATTCTGGGAGCTGTAGTAAGAAAAAGTAATTTGGGAAATGTGGAGGTGCTTAATATTTCATCAAACTGCAAAGAACCACAGGGTTGTGTATGACGGAAGCATGAAAGGTAGGTGAACTGCAACAGAATGGAACAATGTCCAAGTTATTCTAGGAATATAACATGGTGACAACATAGGTTGGTGCTGCCAGTCATGTTGGCAAAGGGGGGGGGGGGGGAGAAAACCAAAGAGAAAAACAAAATGGAAACAAAAATAAATAAATATGACCTAAACAAATTACTAGTGAATACATTCAATAGCTACACTGATTGTTACCTGAAAGAATTTAGAAAGAAATACTCTTTTGGACTGTAAATTCCATAATCCTTCAACCAATATGTCTAGTCCAACAGAGTAATCTTTCTAAGCTCTGGGTTGCTGTGAGTTTTCTGGGCTGTATGGCCATGTTCCAGAAGCATTCTCTCCTGATGTTTTGCCCACATCTATGGCAGGCATCTTCAGAGGTTGTGAGGTCTGTTGGAAACTAGGCAAGTGAGGTTTAAATATCTGTGGAATGTCCAGGGTGGGAGACAGAACTCTTTGCAGGGGAATTGCCAGACAAGAATAAATCAGGGCCAGCTAACATCTCCCTACAAAGGATTCCCCTAGGCAGAAACCAGTCAGCCTTTGAAACTGCAAGGCAATTCAATGTTAATCAAAGTGGCCAACTGCAACATTCACACTTGCCTCAAGCAGACAGAGTTCTTTCTTCCACTCTGGACTTTCCACAGTTACATAAACCTCACTTGCCTAGTTTCCAACAGACCTCACAACCTCTGAGGACGCCTGCCATAGATGTGGGTGAAGCATCAGGAGAGAATGTTTCTGGAACATGGCCATACAGCCCAGAAAATTCACAGTAACCCAGTGATTTTGGCCATGAAAGCCTTCGACAACACATTTTCTAAGCTCTATTTTTTGACCACATGTTCTGTGTTTAGCAATTAGTATTTTTAGGTGGTGCACGCACATATACACGCTTACCTTGTCACAGAAAACCTTGATCTGGCAGAAAGCTCGATGGATGGGTTTATTGCTGCGATTATTGTAGCTGTACGTATCAATCTGAATCATCAAAGGAAGACCCTTGACTCCTTTTTGTGAAGAAAAGTCTGTGCTCAAGCAGTTCACTGTGATGAAAATCTGATTGGAAAGGAAGAGTAAAAAAATGAGCTAGAAAGGTACATTCCTTCCCAACTGAAAATTGGACTCAAAGAAAAGCATGGAGCCGCTCATTAATCTTGAAGGTTCCATTTGCAACAGCCCTAGAGAAATCAGCTTCCATGAAATGGAAATTAGTTTACCTTAATTAATCATTGCTTAATTCAGGGTTTTAGCAAAAGAAATCAAACAAGGGCAGAATGGCTCCAACAACTCAACTAATGCAACTACTTTACATGGGAAACATTAGAATCAATAAAAGAAATTTACTCGAAGCCTGTAGGTAGGTTTATGAGAAAGGCCCAGTCATTTGATTCACTGAAATCAATAAGTGCAATTCGGCTCCTACTCATCTTGAAAGAGTTGCTTGGTCTTTATTGTTTCCTAAGGGAAGAGCTTGGGAAAGTTATCTTTTGGACCACTTCCGTGGCTGGCTAGGAGTGGAAGCTATGGCCACGATTCATTATCAGTGCAGGGAAAGGGTGATGACGCCAGTACTTAAAATCAAGCCTGATTCCAGATTGCCCCAACGTTGCAGGAGACCCCAGGGTTTCCAAGGCAGGGCAGCCACTTTAAACCCCAAATCCCCACAACCCTTGGATGAAATGATAAATCACCAGCAGTGGTAAGATCTACTAACTGAAAGGTTACCAGTTTGAAGCCCCGGACCTCCATGAGCACCCGACTGTCAGCCTAGCTCACTGTTTAGCTAAGCAGTTTGAAAACAGCTTAGAGCTGTAAGTAGAGAAATTAGGTACCACTAAAAAGCAGAGGAGGTATTTTAAGACACCATAAAAAGAAAAAGACCAAAAAATGCCTGGCGACCAAAAGAAAGGAGCAAGTGCTGATGGCTCTTCATCATAGAGGATGGAGCACAAGCACCCCCCTGTGACTGAATTCGAGCACAACCTCAAAGGCGCAATTAAGCTGGATGTTGACACAACATACATCCTTTCTGTTCTGTCTGTCTTTCTCCTGTCTATCCAAAATGGCACTGAATGTTTGCTGTGTATGTGTACTGTGATCCACCCTGAGTGAGATAGGATGGAATATAAAGTGTTGTTGTTGTTGTTGTTGTAGTCAGCCCAGGAGTTTTGGCTAGTGCAGACTAGAAATAATTCTAGTCCAACATTCAAATCACTACAGTCAGACTTCCACAATCACAGGGTTAGAGGCACAAGACCCCTGTGAAAAACCAAATAAAGTATTGTGATCACTATTCCCCCCCACCCTCCTGAAATAACTCCTCTCTGGAAGCTGAACATAGAATCTCATTGGATGACCTAGAGCTGTGTTTCTCAAACTGTGCTCCTCCAGGTGTTTTGGACTTTAGCTCCTAGAAATCCCAGCCAATTTGCCAGCTGTTGGGAATTGTGGTAGCCCAAATACTTGGAGGAGCAAAACTTGAGAAACTCTGACCTTGAGATTCCTAGAGAGGTGTTCTTTCTAGAAACCTCTAGGTCTTCCAGCATGACTGGAAGAAGTTGACCAAAGAGTCACACTAGAGAACCTAGAGATTACTGGAGAGAACATTCTAACCAAATCCATAATTAATACAATCCATAAAAGTCAAAACTGCAGTTGTGGAGGGACAGCTGTATACTGTACTTGCTTTCTGCCTATGTCTTGAAAGTCTTGATAATGCCCATAAAATATTATAAGAGTCATAAAGGGAGTTTTCCTACCCAAGAACATTTTGATGGAAACCCTCCCCAACTCATTCAGAAAAGCCGCACGGAGGTAAAGCTAATGCGCCTTGCACAAGGAACTTGGCAGCATTCATTTGATTACTAGGACTGATATTACTATCTACTGGAGAAGTTGGCTTAGCTTGTTTGCTTGACTGAGTTAAGAGCACAGCAGCATTTCTGTGCTTGATGGTATCATGGTACTCCATGCCTACAAACAACAAAGTTGAACTTTAACTCATTAAAGAGGAGAAGGGGAAGAGAAGCTGTTTTACTCAGATGTACAAGCATGTAGCAACACAGTACCGCTCTGTCTAAATATAAGCTTTTTCAGGCCATTCTCAGAATATATGCATGGGAGAAGGCTGCATCTCCTGGAATCTTCCATATGACATGCCCACTGGTTGCAGGATTATGGGAACTGTAGTACAAAACTTACCTTTTCCAAAATCTGGGGTGGGGTGGGGGGCACATGAATAGACAGACCTCAATGGGCCATTAAATACTCCCCAGCTTTATTTATTTATTTATCAATTTTTTTATCACCAACGTTCAAAAGCCAGCCTAAATAAATAAGCTTTATAAGCTCTACGAAAGGACAGTAAATCTCTGAGAGCTCGTGTCCCCGCTGGCAAGGCATTCCACAGGTAAGGAGCCACCACTGTAAATGCTCTACACCTAGTAGACATCAGGTGAAAGGTCCTAAAATTGGGAACTTCAAGTAAATTCTGGTCGTCTGAACAACTACCTCTTAGGGCCCTTCCACACAGCCCTATATCCCAGAATATCAAGGCAGATATGGACTGAGAATATCAAGGCAGATGTGGACTGAGATATCCTAGTTCAAAGCAGATATTGTGGGATTTTCTGCCTTTATATTCTAGGATATAGGGCTGTGTGGAAGGGCCCTTAGAAGGCTAACAAATGTTTGTGGCTTAGGCAGTACTACAACTTTCTCTTTTGGCTTTGCAACTCTCTTCATTATGACCATATTGGCTTCTTTTCTCAATCTTTCTCGAAGGAGTTACATTTCTTCCATTTGGAAAACTTCTGCCCTTCGCAACTATGAATTCAACACATGGAGAATCCTGCCCCCTGAATTATATGAGGGAGGAGGTGCTTTAAGAAGCTTCAAATGGCTTCCTTGAGCTTTGAAAAGGTGGCAAACTAATGGGTTAAAGAAATACACTGAGTTGCAGCAATGATCTCGATGGAAATGCAGAGAAGCAAAATGAAGATAATGCGGTGAATATAACAGACTATCATTTTAGAAGATTGAATATCCCCCTCCTGCAATGGTAATACAGTATATCAGGGCTCTTTAACCATCAATAATAGTATACTCATGGTGTGCACACATAAAGGCAAAAACCTGTCGTACCAGTATTAATGCTGTGTTATTTTGCACTGTAGCTGGAGAGAATTCAATTAGAGTTACGGCAGATCAATGATTTGGGATACATTTTCATGCCCCAGTGCACCACCCTATTAGGTTACTTTAGTCACAGTGGGGGGATTTAAATAGGGAAGGCAATTTACAAGCAGCCAACCCAGAGCCAGAGACAATTCCGGAGCACGTTCTTAGTTTTCATTTAGCCTCATGCTTTAGATGATGTTAATGCTCCATTACATTTGTTCTGGATGCCCCAGAGAGCATCGTTTATTATCACACAGATATTTGGATTTCAGCTCCATGCTTTAGATGTGTGTATGTACTTTCAAGTTGGCTGTTGATATATAGCAACTGTATGAATTTTTCATAGAATTTTCATAGGCAAGAAATACTCAGAGGTGGTTTTGCCAGATTCTTCCTCTGAAATATAGCAACTGATATTCATTGGCTGTGTCCTATCCAAGTACTAACCAAGTCTGACCCCGCTTAACTTTGAAAACCAGACAGGATCTGACGCATGCAGGGGCACTGTTATACCATAACTGATACTCTAGGAGAGAGACTTCTGGGAAGAGCCAGAAATCACAAAAAGTAAACTTCTCTGGTATCATGATATCAATAAATAAGCCATTCCTGCTCCAAGTCCTATTAGTCGCAGTCATAATGGCTAGTGATCATGAGTTATAGCAGCATTTCTCAACCTGGGAGTCGAAACCTCTGGGGAAGGGAGTCATGAGGGGGTGTCAGACGGGCCGCCAAAGACCATTAGAAAATACAGTATTTTCTGTTGGTCATGGGGGTTTTGTGTGGGAAATTTAACCCAATTCTATCATTGGTGGGGTTCAGAATGCTCTTTGACGGCAGGTGAGCTATAAATCCCAGCAACTACAACTCCCAAAAGTCAAAGTCTATTTTCCCCAAACTCCACCAGTGTTCACATTTGGGCATAATGAGTATTCATGCCAAGTTTTGTCTAGATCCATCATTGTTTGAGTCCACAGTGCTCTCTGGATGTAGGTGAACTACAACTCCAAAACTCAAGGTCAATGCCCACCAACCCCTTCCAGTATTTTCTGTTGGCCATGGGAGTTCTGTGTGCCAAGTTTGGTTCAATTCCATCATTGGTGGAGTTCAGAATGCTCTTTTTAGGTTGTAACTACAACACCCAAATGACAAAATCAGTCCATTCCCCTCCTCCCAACCCCACCAGTATCCAAATGTGGGCATATTGGGTAATTGTGCCAAATTTGGTCCAGTGAATGAAAATACATCCTGCATATTGGATATTACACTACGATTCATAACAGTAGCAAAATGACAGTTATGAAGTAACAACAAAAAATAATTTTATGGTTTGGGGTCACCATAACATGAGGAACTATATTAAGGGGTCGTGTCATTAGGAAGGTTGAGAACTACCGGGTTATAGGAACAGCAGGACAAAAGGTTGTTCTTAATGTTAACACCTGAAAGACATGAATTAAGTTAAATTTTCAAAATGTAAAGCTAAGCTAAATCCACCTGATTAACGCAACTGAAAAGTGTTCCCAATAAACCCATTGGTGGTCAAAGAAAGAAAGGATGAAAGAAAGAAAGAAAGAAAGAAAGAAAGAAAGAAAGAAAGAAAGAAAGAAAAAAGCAAGCAGCTCACCAAATGACTTTGCCCAGGAATCCTCCAACCTTTAGGCAAACCAAACAGGTGACTATACAAACTTCCTTTCTTTCTGGGTTGTTGTAGGTTTTTTCGGGCTATATTCTTTTCTTTTTTTCTTTCTTTCTTTCTTTCTTTCTTTCTTTCTTTCTTTCTTTCTTTCTTTGGAGAAGATGCTGCTAATGATATCTTACGGTATCTCATTTGCTGAGCAAAGGCAACCAAAAGATCTATATGGATGATTCTTTCA